TTCTATCTCCAAGCTTACTCATTCTTTTCTAAGCTGTGTCAACTGATGAGCCCATCAAAGGCATTCTTCATTTCTGCTACAGTGTTTTTGATTTCCAGCATTTTCTCTGAGTCTTTCTTAGAGCCTTTCTACCAATCTGCTTCACTGCCAATCTGCTCTTGCATGTTATTTACTTTTTCTGTGAGAGCCCTTAACATATTATTCACAACTATTTAAATTCCCTGTCTGATAATTCCAATATCTATCACATATCTGAGTTAGTGTTTACTTTGCTTTGATTGCTTTGTCTCCAGACTTTTTCTTGCCTTTTGGTATGCCATGTGATTTGTTCTTTAAAATCAGATATATTTTATTGAGTAGTAGGAACTGAGGTAGCTAGGCCTTTAATGTAAGGATTTATGTTAATTGGCAAGAAGTTGGGCTGTGTTTAGTGATTTTTGTAGCTGTAGGTGCTGGAGGCTTCAAATTTTCCTAGGTCAGTCTTAGTCTTCACTCTTGGCTTTGGGCTTTCTTGTATACTAGTCTTTGGACTGTCTGCCTTGTAGCTGTTGTTGTTTTTTTTTAAGATTTCATTTATTAGAGAGAGAGAGAGAGAGAGCGAGATGGAGATAGAGCTAGCATGGGCAGGGGGAGGAGCAGAGAGAGAGGAAGAAACAGGCTCTCTGCTGAGCTAAGGAGCTCGATGTGGGGCTTGATCCCAGGACTCCGGGATCATGATCTGAGCCAAAGGTAGGTGTTTAACGACTGAGCCACCCAGGCACCCTATCTTGTAGCTCTTTCACTTGCAATCCCTATCATTATACTGGAGTTCTTTTGATATCAAGGTGGGGGGGGTGTGTGTGTCCTAAAATATTAAATTTCAGTCTTTTACTTGGCCAATGTCTTGGGGCTGTGACCCTCATGACTGTTTCTTCAATTGTATAACTTTTTTTTTTTTAACCCTCTCCCTCCTACATGTTTGGTTACAGCAGTCCCAATTTGTTTCCTTGAAGTTCTGACCAAAGTGCCCTATGCTTTATTTTCTCTTAAGTGAGACAGAAAATCTGGAATCCCCTTCCCCTAGTTGGGATAAGACTCTGGAAATTTATTTCCTTTGAATAAAAGAGGTTTGTTATGGAGAAGTCTGGGGACTTACTTCATAATGGTCTCTCTCTCCCTCCCAGGAAAGGATTTTTCACCAGTCTTCATCATGAAAACCTGGTAGAGTTCCTGGAGTTAAAATCCCCAAATGCTTGGGAGTTCCCCTTACGCTATGGCTCCCAGGAGTTTCTCACTACCACTATTAGGCCATACTCGGTCTCCAACCATTCATCAAAATGTTCAGGTATCTCTACCAGTTTATGGATACAGCTGCTTCTGTTCCTGGTGAGCAAGTCTCAGCTGTGTTCCCCTGGATGTATTTATCTCTGCAGTTTTGAGGGGAGTAGGTGAGCCTTTGTCCTGTGACCTCATTCTCTCATGATCCAAGAAAAGTTGTTGATTTTCCATTTGTCTAGCCTTTTCTTGCTGTAAGGATGAGAGTGTCCAGAATTCTTATATATCAGACTTGAAACCAGATGTCTTGCATTACTTTTATATCTAAAACACATTCCTTCCTATTTGCATCTGCAATCATCTTTACATTTTCCTAATTCCAGAAAACTGTCTGGATACAGTTTATATAAATCTTTGGTAATAAGTTCTTGCCAAAATGTCAGTGTGATTATTTAAGTTAAGCATCAGTATTCCAATGTGAGTCATTTTAGACATGGTTTGATGAAATTAACTGAGGATGAGAACCACCGATAAAGAATTTAATCAAGATTAATACCTTCATTTTAAAAGGTTGATAAGGTGGGTGAGCACATTAATGGTTTTATCCATTAAATCTTTTGGTGCTAAGAATTGATGTCCTTGTCTTATCTAGGTAAAGAATTTTTGTTTCTTGGCAGAAAAAAAAATTATTTATAAGTTGAACTACAGTAGTAATTTTTCTCAATTGACAGAAGGCACAATTTTTGCCTCAAACCCTTATCTGGTAGCTTGTTTAGAAACAGTAGGCTGTTTCTAAATCAAAGTTTAGTAGAGGTGGGGGTGGGAGATTAATTTTATCAGAGAGCCTTCTTCTCATTTAAAAAAATTAGATTTGCCAATTGAAAAGCTGGTAAACATTGTTTAAGCATGTTTAAATATTTTTTAAATATTAAATATTGCATAATACAAATAAAATAGCCTTTAAAACATTATCTACAATACAATTCTCTTTTTTGTTAAAATATATGTAGTGTTATTATGCATATTTTATAAACTAGATGGAACAGAAATATGAAATGATTACATGAATTCTTCTCTCATTTCTGCTCATTTACATTTTCTGGATTGCATGTAATAAACAAGTAATGCTTTTATCAAAAGAAAAAACCTGCAGAAGTTAAAACAAAAAAGCTAATTAGTAAAATTTTAGGACCTGAATAGAATGTAGGGTTTGTTAGGCCAGTTAGTAAGGCACACACAGAAAAACCAAACTTTTTGAATCTTCTTTCTCATTCCTGCTGGTGAGAATCATAACCCTTCTTAAAAAGACCCTGCTCAAAGGGGTACCTGGGTAGCTCAGTCAGTTAAGCATCCAACTCATGATCTCACGGTTGTGAGATCGAGCTTTGCATTGGGCTTTGCACTGGACATGGTGTCTCCTTAAGATTCTCTCTCTCCCTGTCCCTCTGCTCCTCACCCCTTCCATCACAGCTTATACTCTCCTTCTAAAAAAATTAAAAAATAAATATTTACCTAATTAAAAAAGAAGAAGAAGAAGGAGAAGAACCATCTCAAATATACATGGCTTTGGCATTTCTATAACAGTATGTCTCTTCTCTCTTGCCACTTGTAACATTCTTCCAGGATAACATTAGTAGTGAGGAGTGAGAAGAGGAAGAAGGGAATGTGGATGATGACTGTTTCCACTTAGATTTGTCAAGTACTTAAATATACACCTTACTTATATTATACTAATTAATCCAGAAATATTATTCCCACTTCATAGGTGAGGAAAAGGAAAATCAAACAGGTTAAGAAATTTTACAAATATCCTTTGTCACAACCCATGGAACTCAGGGTTTTATGCAAGCTTGTGTTTCTCCAAAATTTGACATATAATAAGAACTCAATAAACATATTTAATAATTGAGCTATTTAGAATTTATGGGCCACATTTTCAGGACTTATCAGTGGCCTTCTGATCCTACAATTAATTCACAATTAAAAGCCAATTTTCTGGGATAAAAGCCAATTTTCTGGGAAACAAACTGTGGGTTACAAAAGGGAGTGGGGTAACCAGATGATGTTGCAATGAGCACTGGGTGTTATACGCAACTAATGAATTGTTGAACACTATGTCAAAAACTAATGATGTACTATATGCTGGCTAACTGAACATAAATCAAGTAAATAAATAAATGAATAAATGTCAACTTTAAGCACGATGGGTTTTTGAAGTCCAGATTCTCTAAGCAAATAGAATTGTTCTCCATCACGGAAAACATGATCACCATGCTGCCATCCAGCATCGTTGTTATCTTCTTTATTGTACTTCATAATGCTTTTTCAAATTTGCTTGTTTGTTTGAAGCTTTATCACTTTCCTTTATAGGCACCATCGCTTGGGCTATGCATGTACATTTTATCTCCTGGAATAAATTTTATAGCAGAGTAACAATATTTATTAGCACTTTCACAAATATTAGCACATTGGATAATCCCTTTGGAAATAGGACAGATACTATTGCTTTCATTTAAGGATGAGGAGGCTAGATCTCCAAGAATTTCAGTGATTTGCTTAGAGTCATACACAGAGCTAGGCTCAAGGGGAGTTCTCTGACCTCAGATCTATGTTAAATGTTGTATATATAAATACATATATATACACACACAGACATACACACATATATGTATGACATAGCTATATCATATAGCATCTGTTAAATGACCTGATAATACAAAATCTTTTTCTTTCTCACATTTTTAGTGACACAATATAAATTCTTCTATAGCTTGAGTATTCTTACTCAATAGTTTCTGTCCCTTAATTGTTTACCTTTTGTTCCAGTCAGAATTTTTAATTGCATACAAGAGATACTAACTCTGGCTAATTAACAGAAAAAGTCTTTACTAAAATGATACTGAATAGGTCAGGAAATCATGGAGAATGAGGTTCAGAAACAGGTGGGGACAAGGGAGGAGGAGGGTGACAACCATGAAATCTGCTAAAACCATGCTATAAAACACTGGATATTGCCTTGTTCTTCCAGTCTTGCAATCCCCCATAAGTTATTGCAACTGTTTTTGCCCACGACCAGAATAGTTTTCCATCATTCTTGTTTCTGTGTGTCACTATATCTGTTTCAAAGGCTTCATAGGTATATCTGACTGACTGAGAATTGATCGTATGGCCATATTCTAGTTTCAGGGGAAGTTGGGAAACCAGTCCAAGTATATTTAGTCTCCGTTGTTGGAGGAGAGCTCTTTCTCTCCCCAAGTTTCATTAAGCATACTCTTCACAAAACACGGCAAGTTGGTTGAAATAATTGAAAATTACCTACTGTGACCCAAAAAATGACCAAATTCCAGAACTGATTCTAACTTAGTTTTATGTGTTCTTTCTTTGGGCTAACTTTCTTTGAGACAAGAAACATATTTAATTTACAATTTCAACCCAGCTGTCACTCAACCAATAATTATCCTTGCTTTGAAGCTTTCTGAAAGGTCTAAACTTGTCACGTAGATTCACTTACCTAAGAAATTCCCTTTCCAAAGTTATCCTCTCACATTTCTTTCAAATGAGTGAGCTTCATCAGGGCCTGACAGTATGAGCTAGTGCTTTACAAAATATTTTCAAAGCATGAAAAATATATCTGGGATTTTGCCATGTCTTGGGATTTTAAGATATGCCTAATTATTTTACTCCAAGAATTCTAAATATTTTATAGATAACATGTTTCTGAGTCTGAATAATCCTTTCCTCTACAGTATTTTTGAACAGTGGCTCCGAAGGCACCATCCTCTTCAAGAAGTTTATCCAGAAGCCAATGCACCCATTGGACACAACCGGGAATCCTACATGGTTCCTTTTATACCTCTGTATAGGAATGGTGATTTTTTTATTTCATCCAGAGATCTGGGCTATGATTATAGCAACCTACAAGAATCAGGTAAAGTTTAATTTCTTTCATATGAATTAGTGAATCTAGTGTGACCAGCTTCTTTTGAGAAAGTACCTAGCCTTACATGTTTATAATGTTATCCCCAAAGCCTTTAAATTGGGAAAGCACATTACAACACTTAATTTTTCACTAATTTATTATTACATGAACTAAGTTGCAAGGATCTTTAAATTCACATCCAATCTGCTTAATATAGGGCATTTTGTATATGGCAACCACGAAAAGAACGCTAGAATTAAAATCAGGAAAAAAAAAAAAAGGTGAGTTTAAGGCATGACTATCAGCTGACCATTAAGTGACCTTGGAAATTTTGCTTCAACGCCATGAATCTCAGTTTTTTAACCGAAAATATTGGGATCAGAATAGCACAAAGAGATACTGTGACAGTTTTTTAAAGACCTTATTTATTTATTTGAGAGCGAGAGAGAACATGAGCTGGGGGAGAGCCAGATGGAGAGGGAGAGGCAGGCTTCCCACTGAGCTGGGATCCTGATGCAGGGCTTGATCCCAGAAACCTGGGATCACACCTGAGCTGAAGGCAAATGCTTAACCGACTGACCTACCTAGGCGCACCAAGATATTGTTATAATTAAATGAATATGATATATTAAAGAGTCCAATATGGTGTGGTACAAGATAGACATCCAGCAGGTTTAGAGTTATCTTTGGGAACTTTCTCCTAGGGTTACCAAGAAACTATTATGATAATTGTTATGACTATAATTAAAGTAATAACATAAAACTCTAAGATTATAATTATATGCAGGCTTCAAATAATCTCCCTGAGTAGAAATATGTCAATATCTTAATACATGAGGAACAGTTAACAATGCCTTCCCCCACCCAAGAGCTTGCTACATGCAGATCTTATACATGTGTTATTAATAAATCATATATTAGATAAATATTATTATCTCCAGAAATAGGTGAGGGCACTAATACTATGAGAATTTTAGTGATTTTCCCAATAGCAGACACCAGTATATAGAGGAGCCAGATATCAGTACCACAAGGCCCTCTCTTCAATTCACTACATTATGCTTCTACTCTAACACAAGAGGGTCAACAACCAAAAACAATAAAACAATATATGGCTTGTAGGTAAGAGGTATTCAATAAACATTGACATTTCATTAAATTCATTGATAATTCATAAAAATGATAAGTCATAAAAACAAGAGAAGTAAATTAAACAAATTAATGACATTTACCAACTTCCAACCCTCATGCTAGATTTTTTTTTTAATTTTATTTTTTATAAACATATATTTTTTCCCCAGGGGTACAGGTCTGTGAATCGCCAGGTTTACACACTTCACAGCACTCACCATAGCACATACCCTCCCCAATGTCCATAACCCCACCCCCCAACCCCCCTCCCCCCAGCAACCCTCAGTTTGTTTTGTGAGATTAAGAGTCACTTATGGTTTGTCTCCCTCCCAATCCCATCTTGCTTCATTTACTCTTCTCCTACCCCCTTAACCCCCCATGTTGCATCTCCTCTCCCTCATATCAGGGAGATCGTCCTCATGCTAGATTTTAAAGACATAAACGACTGACATAGTTCCAAACCTCAAGCAGCTCCAAGTTCAGTGTGTAAGCCAGACAATTGTACAAGAAAGTACAAACCATCAGGCTGTGTTTAGTGCAGCAAAAGAGTCATAAACAAAAATCCGAAAGGAGCACTGGGGAGAAAGCAATAACTTCTGAATAATTCAGCCTAGAAAGACAACACCTTGAAGGATGAGCAGGCAAGTAGCAGATAGAAAAGAGCAGAGAATATTATAAATGAAGAGAATACCAAGAAAAATAGAGGTGGAAAGTGTACAGTGTAATTATGCAATGCTAAGTTCTCCTATTTGAGTAGTAGAAGTAATGGAAAATTTCCCTGTGGAGAGAAATGGAATCCCGTTATAATAACTAACACATATTGAGTATTTTTTATGTGAATGGAACTCCTCTAGGAGTGCCCTGTGCATTATTTCCTTTAATCTTCATAACTATTATATATGAATGAGGCACTATTATTCCTTTTTTCCTTTTTTAGGTGAGAAAACAGAGGCTTAAAGAATGCAAATAAGGAGTCCTGGGCCATCAAGTTAGTATGTGGCACAGCAGAACCACAGTGTAGGGCCAACAAGAGAACGTGTATTTTGTCAAAATTTACCTGCCCTTTGGGGGACCCTTAGCTCAACAAACATGGGTTTCATTAACCTGTTTTGTTTTATCTGAAAATCATAGCCAGTGGAAGGAATATGAAAATGGCTAGCATTGGATATCAGTTTTTTGAAAACCTTGAGATCACTGAGAACAGGGGATTTTGCAAAGTGCAGTCATATTGTAAGGGAACTCAAAAAAGTGGCAGTCTCAAGTAACATGTTTCCCCTTCTGAAAGGGAGGGAAAGGATCAAATTGGGAATGGCTTTTCAGAGATTTACCACTTAGGATTTTATGATCTCCAAAACATGCCAAAATCTTTCATGGGCACATGCTTTTAAACATATTGTTCCTTCTGGCTAAATTCTGACCCTGTTTATCCATTTGTCAAACTCTCAGATAGTAAATCATCTTATGCATATATATAGCCATGTTTAATCACGCCTTACTAGAGTTACATAGTAATTTTTTATATTTAAAATTTCCCCTGTCCATCATGAGTATAGTCCCACAAGATTAGACTTGACATTCTGCAAGTTTCTCTAGTTTAAGTATCAAATGACATCCAGTATCATTGGGTGAATCAGTTTGAGTACATGTGATATTGACCATGAAGTGTGGTATCTCTTAACCAATATAAGTAAAGCTTGTTATTAATATGTCACCCCTTTTAATACCCAGGTCATCTTTAGATATGTATTTTTAACATATTTCAAGTCTTCTATCATGCTATGTATTTTCTAGGTGGTATTATGATTTATTTATTCTTTCTATATACATGTATTTAATAACTACCTAACCAAGCATTGTCTTAGAATGGATACAGTGGTAAACAACATAGTCTATCTTCACAGGGTTTGCACTGTAATGGTAGATAAAGACGTTAAACAACTATGTACCTAATGACTTCTTTGTTTAGGGACATACCTACCTCTAGGGGTCAATGAAGTGATATTTCAGAGGACAGCAGTATGACTGGAAGAAGTAATTAGTTGAAAAGGGGATCTTGAATATGGGTTTTGGCTACATTGTTAAAATAACAGAAGTCATTGATAAATTCTAAATGGTTTGAGTTTGCAAAACCTTCTTGTTGCTGCAGCATATAGGAAATTCTGTAGCAGCTGTAAAGCATCTTCAGAGAAGGACATGATGATGCTGTTACAGGCATCCAGGAGAGAGGTGAAGACAGTGTGGGTGGCTGTGGTTGTGCTCAGGAGAGGGCAGAAGGCATGAAAGAATTTGAACTATTTTGAATTTATATAAAATGTACAGAACTTGGAAAATGATTCATATATGAGATGAGAAAAGGAGATATCGGGGATGCCTATAAGCTCTCTGTCCTATGAAGATGGTGGATGGTGACACGCTCATTGAGATAGGCACAGTAGGAGCAAGGCCAAACATGGAGGACTCTCCTAGTTGCACTAATTACACAGTGAAATGGTGATAGGAAACATCAGGGCAAATATGTCTCTGGGGCAGGTTGATGGCCTTGAAACTCAGAAGATGTTCTGGCCTGCAGTTACTAACAGGCAATAAATTACAGACATCAGCATATGAATTGCTATCTCTGCTAATCTTCACAGTCTAATGTGAAGTGATTTTGATTTTGTTCTATAGGTAAATTGAAAACAGAAAGGTTAAGTGACTAATTCTAAGTCATAGAAGTACTAAGTGGCCAATACTGAATAATTCCCGCCCCCCCTTTACTCCACAGTAGAGAGGGTTCTCTTTAGTCCCCATGTGTCTTGTCCACTATGTTCTATCTCATGGTTCCTTCTCTAGTATCCAAATGGGTAATTTTTACTGAAAAGGCAACAAAACCCATCCAAACGGAGGAGGGGGTGGAGGCTCAAAGAGTCCCATTAGGGCCTTATGGTAGTTATTATTTCTAGTTAAATATTTAAAAAATAAAATGGATTTGAAATGTTTTATCTATTGATGGTAATTTTCATAAAACTGTGAATCTACACCATTAATTTTAAGAAGTTTGACTTTAAAAACAATAATTGCCTATTTTCCTTTTACGAATTATTCTATTGGTTCTGATACACATTCAAGGAATTTAAAATTTATTCCTATTTCTTGCTAAACTTTAAGCCTACTAAAAAGAGTCCCTAAAAACTTTTTGATGTAATTTAGTTCTCAAGCAGTTTGTTACTCATCATTCAGGTACTCATTTTTGTAATTACTTAAGTGTTTTCCATAAAAGGCAGCTGATGTCTGGCATTTGTCAAATATTTCTCTTATAATTGAATTTAGTGATGCTTTTAAAAATTGAGCAGCAGGTGATTTTGTTGCACGCATAACTGATTCAAGGTGAGACCAAAAAGCTTTGGCAATGAAAGCTTGTGTCCTCAATGCTGTTGGTAAATGTGTTCCTGCTTTCTATATAGTACTGCTCTGTTGAGAGCCTCCTAAACCCAATATATTCCCAAAGACCTTGATATTTGATGTTAAAAATGAGAGGAGGAGACATGATCATGGTAACTAGAGAGCCTCGTTCTGCAGATGGGATTTGATGATGGGCTTCTCTCATTCACAGATGTGTTCAATAGCTATGATTGTCTACACAGAATCTTGTCTATGTATTAATAATTATTTTAATGTATTCATGCCAGGTGGTGGTCCGGTTTCCTTTGCCTGGAATGGCTTGCCATCAACATCACATGCTCAAGTTCTATTCATTCTTCTACTCAGTGAGAAAGTCTTCTGGGAAGCCTTCCTTGACTCCCCAGACAGATATAAGAGGTCTTACCACCACGATTCCATTGTATCTTTTTACATACTTTCATCATTGCAACATTACTCTTGAAATACTTAGCATGCTTGTTGGTCTTTTTTTACAGTTATTGTTTTCTTCAGGCCAGGACCTCTGCTTATGTGTCTTTTCACTTACAGTGCCAGGACCACCACTTGGCATATCATGTGTCTCATGGAACATTTACTGTATGAATGAATCGACAAATGAATGAATAGAAGAATGAAAGATAAAACAAATAAGACCTAATACTTGCTCTCAAGAATTTATGATCAAGTCTGAAAAGACATACGTATAAGTAATTATTAACACATAGACAATTGTGTCAAGTGACACAAGGGAGCAAAGAAACAGAGAGTCTGAGAATACAAAAGAAAGTTGAACTAAATAAGTAATCAAAGCAGGTTTGAGAGAGAAATTTTTATCGGAAGCTTGTTCCATGGAAATATCATTGAAATTACTATAGAATAATGAGAATTAGTAACAGTTATAAATTGCTTTCTAAGTGCTAAGGTATTATACCAAGAGCTATATATACATTGTCTCATTTAAATATTATAGGCAAACCTTTTAAGTTATAGATTTGTAATTCATTAAGTTATGATAATGGTCCCAAACTAACTGATATATTTGTTGTGTGAGTCAATGAGCATGTGATTCGAACACAATAGAGCAGAAGACAAACAGAATAAACTATTATTCTGAAGAGAAAGGGTGACATGAAATAATGGAACTTTGGGTAAAGATAGAAAAATTCTGATATTAAGAAAGAATTTAAAGGTGCACTGTTTGGATAGCTGATAGCTGAGAATGAAAGGCTGAATTTCGGTTTGGAGCCACTAAGAAATGTAAAGAGTGTTTCAAAGAAGACCCTTGGTGACAGTAAAAATTGAGACTACTTGGAGTGGACTGAAGTAGAGAAATTGTAAGAGAAGCTGGACAGCAGAATAGATGTAGAAATATTATTTTGAAATTGTGATTTGGGTTTAAGCAGAGCCAGAAACAGAGGAAATCAGATTTCTTATGTAACCTCTCTGTCCTCTGCAAGACATTTTAAATGTATTTTATATATTGAAGTAACTACTAGCAGAATAAGACAGACATTTGTAGTCACTCTTTCAAACTAATTTTAAATATATTGAAAACAGTAACATTTTGATGTTTCTTTTTAGTTTTAGCTTTTTGACTTTTATTGTTTAGATTTAAATATCAAAGTTATAAGTCATTTGTATAATTTATTTGGTAATATTTATCCTTTGCAAGTTGTTATCCCTTACTGGTGAAGAGAAACTCTAAATTGCAATATTGTTCAAATTATGCTTAGTGGGCTCTTGGAATTATAGAGGTAACTTAGTAACAGCCGGCAAAAAGATGGGGTCAAGGAGAGAAGAAAAAATAATGGGAAAAATGAACTGGGTTTTAGCCCTTTAGCCCCACATAAGCCAGAGAAGCTCACTTTTACCTCCTTTGAATGAATATTGGGCTTTAGTACTATGATATTCATTTGTAACAAATTCTCCTGATTAAAAAAAAGAATAATCCTTCATTAAAAAACATTTAGAACATTATCAAGTTCATGGCCAACAGTGTGACTTCCATTTAAAAAAATTTTTTTAAAAGACCTTAAGTTGGGGGCGCCTGGGTGGCTCAGTGGGTTAAAGCCTCTGCCTTCGGCTCAGGTCATGATCCCAGGGTCCTGGGATCGAGCCCCGCATTGGGCTCTCTGCTCGGAGGGAGCCTGCTTCCTCCCTTCTCTCTCTCTGCCTGCTTCTCTGCCTACTTGTGATCTCTGTCAAATAAATAAATAAAATCTTTAAAAAAAAAAACCTTAAGTTGTGTACAGCTTTAAAGATTTATTTCTTTATTTATTCATTTGACCCTGGGACCCTGGGATCATGCCCTGAGCTGAAGGCAGAGGCTTTAACCCACTAAGCCACCCAGGCGCCCCTCCATTTTAAATTTTATTTCATGTTGCTATCCCTGCTTTCCAAGATAGGTTATTAGATAAATATTCCCTTTCTCATTGGTTTGTGTATCTCATTTTGATTATATACGGAGTTCATATATAATTATAATTCCAAAATTTTGTAAGTTAATTACTCTATTGTCTATTGTGGTGGGTATAAAATCAACTTTTAAAAATAATTAGGACTTTCAAAAATGCAAATGACAGAAACTCCACAGGAATGAGATTATATTAAAAAGGGGAATTTATTGGTTTAAAAAAATCCAAGGATGGAATGAACACTCAAACTCTGGGAAAGGCAGAAATGCAGCTGAGACTGAAGAACAGCAGGAACCAGGAAACTAAAAGCCCTAATTCATTCTCTCTCTCTCTCTCTCTCTCTCTCTCTGTATCTCTCTGTTTCTCTGTTCCTCTGTCCTCTCTCTCCTCTAGCTCTCATCTCTATTTCTTGGAGTGCGTTCATCCTGTCTTCCACAAGTTGAGATGTAAGCCTGTCATAAGCTCTCAAGCCACCTGACAACTCCAGCACAGTGATTTCTGAGTAAAGATTCTGATTGGCCCACCTTGAGTCAGTGGTCTCCTATGTACTGAGCAATTATACCCAAGGAAAGAGTTCATAATAAAATGTTATAGGGATACCTGGGTGGCTGTTAAGCATCTGCCTTCAGCTCAGCTCATGATCCCAGGGTCCTGGGATCCAATCCCACATCAGGCTTCTTGCTCAGCAAGGAGCATGCTTCTCTCTCTCCCTCTGCCCCATCTCCCTGCTCACGGTCTCTCTCTGTCAAATAAATAAACAAAATCTATAAAACAACAATAACAAAACAAACAAAAAAGGTTAAAATTTCTGCATCAGTGAGGACGGGAAGGTAGGGATAGGGAGCAAATGCAGGTTCAAAGATCAATGGCTTAAATATATTACTTGACTTACTGCTCAAGCAGCAGTCTTTGTATGTTGTTGAATATCAGCTCCACAATTTCAGGGACCAGAGCTGCCTCTTTCTTGTGATTCCACAACACCTAGGGTTTAATCTGGACCACATGGTCCGTGATGGCTCATGGACACACGATCTGCATTCCAGATAAGCAAAAAGGAGAAAGGAGAAGACATAGCTTCTTATTTTTAAGGAAACTGCCGAAAAGTTACACATATTGCTTTTGTTCAAGACTTGAGTCACATAGACATAATTTGGTGCAAAAGAAGCCCAAGATGCACTCTCTGGTTTTCTTTGTATACAAAATGAATATGGAGTATCTTAGAGTATCTTATAAGTAGTGATGGTATTTTTAAATCAAACAGAAGGATACAAGTTACTAACTCCCAAGAAAATATAATATAAAGAAATGTAATCATAGCACCATCTTTGTTTCCACTGTGAATATTTATATACTAAAACCAATGAAAATCCTTGATGTGGATTTGACCCCAAATCATGAATTATTATACTGAAAAGACGGAGGAAAGAAAAAGGGAGTTGTAAGAGAACAAAATTATTATTTCTGTATGAAGAACTCCAGATAGAAACCTGATGAATTAAAAGATGGTAATATTTGCCTGTTATTTAGAAATGTGGAAGCAAATATCAGAATAAAGATCTGAAAGTTATGGTAGTTGACTTGGTTGTAGACACTGAATAATTTATAGGTTAGATATTATCAGTCAATTTTAAAACATTCCAATGAGGTGGGGTTATGTTCCTGTTCTCCTGATGAAGAAACTAAGGCATAGGAGTATTAAGTGTGAATTTTCTGAGCTCTTACAGCTCATAAGTGGCAGAGCTGTCATTCAGCCCCAAGCATCTGACTCCATAGTACTCTGCAAAGATAATGATGATGATGTTAATGATAATGATGTTGATGATGATGATGGTGCAGCTAATGATGACAACAGTCAAAACATGGGATATCTTTCTGTTTCAGAACGGGACATTTTTCAGGATTACATAAGGCCCTACTTAGAACAAGCAAGTCGAATCTGGCCATGGCTCACTGGGGCTGCTGTGGTGGGCTCGGTCCTCACTGTTGTGCTGGGAGGGATCACTCGTCTATTGTGTCGTCGTCGCAAGAGAAAGCAGCTCCATGAAGAAAAGCAGCCACTCCTCATGGAAAAGGAGGATTACCACAGTCTGTTGTATCAGACCCATTTATGAAAGGATTAGGTGATAAAGTAAGGCCAACAAGGCCCTCACTTTAAATCAAATGATGTTCAAGTTCCCAGGAGTTGTCCCCAGAGCAATCCCTGGCATTTGTTTATGAAGACTATTATCAGGATTGATAGAAACTGTACCCACTCCTCCTCCAATTCAGGTAGAATACACCTCTGCTTGCCTCACTGTCGTTTAATCATTCCTTTAATAGTTTTCCTCAAACCCATATTTCTAAGAAAAGGACGCCATTTAGTAACGAGTAACTGCTACCTGTATCTGAATGAAAATGCTCTTATAAAAATGTGGGAATAATTTTGATCTTTCCTCCTGATTGTTTAATGAAATGTTTCCTTTTATTGTCCCCTTCCTTTGATTTTAATAAAATAGTAACAAATCCACATTGACTCTTTTGAACTTGAGAAGTACATTTCTATTTTCCTCAGAAAGCATAATGTTTCCTTTGTATTTTATATTCTTGTTCCAATGTGTTAGGGACTTCAAATAGTCAACAACTTTCACCTCCTTCCTGCCATAGTTCTGACTATGTGTCTGAAGGTCACTGAAAATAAAGGTCACGCCTGTATGATAAATCTGGCTAAGTATCTATCTCAAGATATACTCATTAAATATGTTGATAACAGTGATAATCCTATTGAAAGCTTTTTTTTTTTTTAAGTTTCTAAGAAGACTTTTACTAGAGGACATTAAAATGCTACAAAATATGTGAAGTTTGAGAACTATTATGTGAATTGCCTTCTTGCAGTCCTAGTAAAATCACATTTTTGTTTCTCTTGGCTATTAATCCTTAAATTAGGATATGCAGATAATCCTGTTCCTCGAATTTTTGGTTCCCATTGAAATTCTAAGAATAGTACAATTTATATTACATTTCTATTATAGCTATGTATAGCATAAAAGATAAGGACCAGTTGTTGGAAGTTATAAGGGACCATTTTGGTCCAATAAAAGGAAAAACTGTCCAATACTCAGAGCTTTCCAAACCCAAAAGGTGCACCCTTAGAAAATCACAAGTGGTCACCACTATAATTCTTCTCATAAAGGTTGTATGGCTAATTCAACTTGAATTCTACAAAAAGAATTTAAGTATTAAGTCTATAGTAATACTTATATCTCCTCAGGACTCTTAACAACTCCCTATTTAGAAACAAGGCCAAGCATGTTCCACAGAAAGTCCCTGTGATTCTTCCACAGTATTCCAGGGTGTTTCACCAGATGCCAATCTGCACTCCCACTGGATGTCCAGCCTCATTTGCTCTGTCCTGGTATCCTCCATCTTTCATTTCTCTTATGCTTAGTCAGCATTTGTCTGCTCAGCATTTTCAATATAACTTTAGATTTGCTACTTGATTTGCCTTTCCCACCTCATCTCTGGACACTGTTTTCCCACTGTCTCTTAATGCCAAGATTTAATGACAGAGTTGTCTACATCTCTGGGAGAGTATTTAAAAGGAGACCAACAGACCTGTATGGTACCTTTCAACTAAAATATTCTATAGTTCCCGTTAAGCTCTGAAGCACTGTGTTCAGATTGTTTATGAATGCATTTAAAAATGAGTGGACTGAAAAATGGAGCTCTTAAAAATGCCTTTATCTGGAGAAGACTGAATAGAGAGTTAAGATCATATAACTTTAAATGATTACATTTCACTTAGTCCCAGTTTCAATTTCAAAGAAGAGCAAGAATTAGCCTATTTATACAGATTGGTCAAATGATCTTGGCTAATTTTCATTTAGGATAAAGAGAAATTCACAATTATTGCTGAAGTAATATCTTTGACTCTCAGAAATTACTAACAGTTAATAAACTCAAATAGAGTAATATGATCTTCTAACTCTCGTTAGTCATCAGACTTACTGACTAACTTGCCTAATTTCAGATGATTAGTGAAGAAAAGTCAGGCAAGGGATGGGGTACAGTGTATTTATTTAGACAGTGGGGGTTCTGGGGGGCTTGAGGGCAAATATAAGGGATTCTCTCCTCAACTTGGCCTATCACCTACCAGAAAAAAATTTTTTTTCTTAACATTGGCAACTGAGGACTGGATTCAATTTAACTGGGAATTGGAACCAGTAAAACTGAGAACAAAAAGTGGGAAAAAAAAATTTGGAAAATGATCTCCAGAAGATTCTGAGGAAGCTGTAATAGGGAACATGGTTGGTTGCCTTTAGTCAAATCTCGGCACACAATGCAGTTACTTAGTAAGGTTTGACTTGGAGGCAAAATTTTAGTCCAAGAGGTATTTTTAACCATTTTTACAAAGCACCTCAAACAGAAGTCCACCCCAGAAATTTTCATTGCTCCTGACAGTGGTCTGTCGTTCTTTTCTTTATCACAAGACAATTCCCTTCTTTATCACTGCATTTCAAGATAGAATATTGTGTTGTTTCTCTAGAGGCTCAAGGTATTTACTTGTGTAGCAGCAATATCTGTGATAAAACCACCACCACACTGATTCTCAGTAAGGTTTTCTCAATGAGGTACCCAAATTACCTGACTGATATTTGAAGATACCTGACAGTTTCATTAAATTCTTACCAACATTATATTCCGCGGCATTGTTTTAGAGTGTGGCTTTTATAAATTGCTTCATTTTTGGCTCTGCTTTTTTTCTATTGCTACATTACAGGTCACATTTTGTTACAGAGAAAGGAATAAGCAGCTGCCACTCTTTTTGTTCCTCTTTCTGTGTTTTATTTTAAAAAAAAGAGTATTTTTAGTAACCAACCTTTCCAACAAGTCAAATATATAATTCTCCATCTGTAGAAATAAGTATGTGATGGGTACAAGTCATTTCAACCAGTGTCTCTAGAAGGCTGACAACTGGCATTGATGGTTGATGTTTTTAAATAGCCTTTTCCTTGTTTATATGGGCTTTATTTGAAGAACGTTTTTCTTTGCCATCATAAAAAGGGCCTCATTGGAGCCTCCTATTGTTAGCCTGTGCTATTCTGGAGGGCATGTCAGTAGAACAAAGTTCCACTCCCCTTCTGATGAGACTCCTTCTGAAAGCTGCTGAAATGCAAGTAAAAAGTGGTTTTGTGTTTTTTTGTTTTTTTTTTTTTTACTTTATCCTGCTTATTTTCAAAAGCATTTGCTAGTTTGTACAGTATCATGAATATAAAATTGCCTATGGCAACTACTGGAGGTCTTAAGGGCTTTCAAATCGTTCAGCTATTTAAAACTATATGGGAATAATTTGAGTATTTCTTTAAAATATAAGCTTTATTAAAACTGTAGATAGCCCATGCTTATCTAATTGTTTTTTAAGTTCCTTTCTTAATTAGCAAGATAAGAAATGATTCTTATAACTTCATGTTAATGTACCAATTTTGGTGTGCATTACAATCATAATCATAGTGATTTCCAATTTCTTATTTGAAAATAAATACCAGAGATGTTGCAATCTAGTGAGTAGTTATGATTCAAGAAATTCAAGAAGTTCAAGAAATGTGTTGAGTGCTTCATATTATATGAACTCATTTACTTCTGTGTCAATATGGGAATAAGTATTATTTGTATTTTCAAATGAGGAGACAATGGCTTAAAAAGGAGACATACTTCGCCTAAGTTCACATGCCAGTTTACTAATTTAGTTAATTTAGCTAGGGTCCAATTCCAATTCTTTGTTCCTAACTATAAATGCCATTATTGTTTGTTACTCAATTATGCTGGTGTGCCATAACTTGCCAGTTCCTTGCTATGGGAAATTTAGGTTTTATCTAGTTTCTCTTAATTAAAAATTTTTGATTCCCATATAAATGCACAGGGTTACATTGGTTTCAAGGGCATGGTATAATGACTCAATAGTTTGGTATGTTTTATCTAGTTTTTAAATTGTGTTTAGTGCTGTATGGAATATCTGGGCATTCTTGGCGTCTAGTTTCTCTTAAATTATCTTCCAGGAGTTCAATCTCTGGATCAAAGCATATGAATAATTTTATGTCTTTTCTAATGAATTGCCACAGTGCTTTTGAAAAGGGTTGCACAGATTTAAAAATGCAGAGATGAAGTCTAAGAATAAGAGATCAAAAGGAATGAAGGAGAAAACAAAGAGGTGAAGAACTTTGAAGAAGGAAGAAGAGTTGCAATTCTTTTTGAACGGAAGACTCTAATTGCCACTTGACGCGTTGCTGCTTTCCATAAGTCTTTTTTAGAATTATAACATCAATTTAATGGGCAGTTTTTTTTTTCTCTCACAAAAATTAGAAGAAAATCCAGACTCAAGCAATTTTAGAGAGATGGGACATAACATGCATGTAAATTGGTCTCAAAATAAGATGTACATCTTGGCTAGATATAGAAGTGTGTGCATCAAGCTATCAGAATCATGCAAGAAAAACAAAACCAAAAGCAAAAAATCCCAGCAACACTAGAATCCATCCATCCTTGGAAGAATGAGCACAAGGCCTTAAAATAGACTGAATCAATGGAGAGTCAGAGTCAGCTATGCGGATAAATAAGATCACGTAAACAGGGGTAGTGAAGGCTGGGAAGACTCTGAAAACCAAGCCCCGGGACAAGTTTGAATGCTTTTATTTTTAGTGCTTTTGAGAAATACTCTGCCTAGAATTTGGTCAGTCTTTAGCAGATCATGTCAGTTTTTAAATACTCTTGCAGAATAACTGCAAAGCATAGATGTATTTATATCAATGTGTGTGTGTGTGTGTGTGTGTGTGTGTGTGTGTGCGTGCTCGCGCGCATATGTGCCATGTACAGAGAAACAAAGAGAGAAAAAACAGAAAGACAAATTGACCTCTCTCCAAAATCAAAGCCAACTTTGTTGTTGATTGTATTAGTTTTTATTGCTACTGTAGTAAATTGCCACAAACAGTGGCATAAACAATATAAATTTGTTATCTTGTAATTCAGTAGACAAGAAGTCCAATATGGGTCTCATTGAGCTAAAATCAAGGTGGCAGTAAGGCTGTGCTCTTTATAGAGGCTCTGGAGAAGATTTCATTTCCCTGTTTCTCGGCTTCTAAAAGCCATCTACACTCCATAGCTCCATCTTTTAAAAGCCAGATAGATTATATCAC